AGCGTTAAAGCATTGTTTCTCAACCTTGGTCCACCCACTTTTGAGATGGGTGGACCAACTACTCCCAGAATTCCTCAGCCAGCCTCGTTTGCTGACTGGGGAATTTTGGGAATTGAAGTCCCCATATCATAAAGTGGCCCAGGTCGAGGTATTAAGTCAAGTTCAGTGGTCTCTCTGTTACGGTTCATCTTGCTGGGTTTCCTAATAGTTACGAATATTTTTCTTGTTTTGGACAGCTATCCCAACATGGTAGGTGCCTTCCGCCGTGCCCTTAAAACCTTTTTCCAGCAAGTTCGGCTGGCCTAACACTTTTTAAAATGTTTTTAATTGTTTGTTATTGTTTTTAATCATGGGGCCAAATTTATATATATCTTTTTAATTGTATTTTAATGTTTGTAGTTTATGCTTTTACTTGGCTGTTCACCGCCCTGAGTTCTCAGGGAGAAGGGCGGTATACAAATTTAAAAATAAATAAATAAATAAACACCATGCAGCCAAAACAATAATGGAGAAGGCTCTACAAAAGAGTTTTCTTAAGGAAACAGATTTAACTACTGAATGTTCCAATATTTGAGGGGCTGCCACAAAGAGGGGGGGGGGTGTCAACCTATTTTCCAAAGCACCAGAAGGCAAGAGAAGAAGCAATGGATGGAAACTGAATGAAGAGAGAAGCAACTTAGAACTAAGGAGAAACTTCCTGACAGTAACAACAATTAATAAGAACAGAACAGAATAACAGAGTCAGAAGGGACCTTGGAGGTCTCCTAGTCCAACCCCCTGCCTAGCCAGGAAACCCTACACCACTTCGGACAAATGGTTATCCAGTATCTTCTTAAAAACTTCCAGTGTTGGAGCGTTCACAGCTTCTGATGTCGTTCAGTGGAACAACTTGCCTTCAGAAGTTGTGGGTGCTCCAACACTCAACACTTTTGAGAAAGGACTGGACAACCATTTGTTGAAAATGGTATAGGGTCTCCTGCTTGAGCAGGGGGTTGGTCTAGAAGACCTCTAACGTCCTTTCCAACTCTTGTTATTCTGTGTCCTTGTGTCATTTTCTGAGTCTGAGGAAAATAAGAATCTGCAACCCAAACTTGAAAAGCCAAGAACAGGGGGCAAAGAAAGGCCTGGGACTCCTCTTTTTCCCCTCTCTTTCCTCCCAAGTCTTTTCTGACCACAGCAGAAAATGGCTACTCTATTTGCTCCCTCCCATTCTGCCCCATAATTTTGGCTCCTACCCTAATAGAAGAGGTTGGTTCTCTTTATCCAAAATGTTATGTTCCAGCTCTGCTACTATGGAGAAGAGAAACTTATCCATTGTGTGTGTGTGTGGTGGTGGTGGGGGCTTCTCCTTCCAATTACAGAATTAAAAAGTCTCCTCAACCTAAGTTTCTATCTCCTGCAAACCTTTTAAAATGTAAGGAATCTACTCTTAGTGATTAGCATAGTTGAAAAGATATTTGGAATCGTGCAATGTTATTTGTTTTGTTCTTCTTCTGACACACCAGAGATGCTAAACAGACAGGTAGGTTTTGAAATCTGGTGTAGGAGAAGACTCCTGAGAATATTATAGACCGGGGGTCTCCAACCTTGGCAACTTTAAGACTTGTGGACTTCAAATCCCAGAATTCAGCAAAGCTGGCTGAGGAATTCTGGGAGTTGAAGTCCACAAGTCTTAAAAGTTGCCAAGGTTGGAGACCCCTGCTATAGACGTCCAGGAAAACAGAAGAATGGATGATCAAACAAATCCATTCAGAATTCACACTCAAAGCACAAATGACCAGGCTCAAATTAATCTACTTTGGACACATGAAAAAAACCAGGTAGACCCAACGCTGAATCCCAGGGCCAACAGTAGCTACTGAGATTTAGATGTGCAAATATTTTGAACGCACTAACTTCTCCAACTTAATGTCCTCTAGATAGGCCGGGACTACAATTCCCATACTTTCCTCCGAACTCAGCCTCCGACATCAAGGAACCTTAAAGGAGATGTTGACTGCAAGAGATTTATGATCCTGCCTTTTTCAACCAAATGCATCTTTATTATTATTATTTACGGTACTTGCCTTTCTATTCCCAAACTCACACCTTGTCAAGGGAAATATAAAATAAAAGCCGTATTCCACTTCCACTGGAAAAGATGCACACAAGCACTCACACTGGAGGAGGGAAGGGAAGTATGAATGGGAAAAAGACTGTTTTCACATATACAAACACATTGGTGGAAGAAGGGTGGGAGTCGTTGACCAATATTCAATGAGTGTGTTGGTTATGCCTGAAAGGTATGTGCACACTTTAACCCAGTTATCATTTCTCTACTAATCAGCAGGCAGTCTATTTACATATGCAAATTCAAAGTTGATAAAATAGTAATTAGAAGTCTTGAGGGAAGAAAAATCCAAGGACTCTTGGGCAGGCAATGGGTTAATGCCATTTGTTAGCAAAAGCAAATAGATAATCTATTGTTCCATTATGCTTCAGGGTCCCAGTGACCTAGGCCTTACTAGGTTGATAGATGAATACCTTAGATATTTGCAAAAAATTCACAGAGTTCAGGTGTGGTTCTAAACCAACATGCTGGCTGGAGATTTCTGGGATTTGAGAATTGAGTTGAGAAACAAGCTTTAAACCAGGATTTATTTAATGTCCGAGTTCACGCCGCATATAAGTCACATTTAATTCCTGACCACAAGAACAAACATATCCTAGCAGTTTTCTCAGCGGTGACATAGAAGAGGAAGATTTTCATTCCTCAGCAGGAAATCTAGTTTTGAATTTCCTGGTGGCCTCCTTTCCCAAAAACTAATCAACCCAGACTGTGGTTTTGGACTTCAGCCAAGGCCAATCAAATAAACAGGAGGAAGTATTGGGCTGATCTTGAAGGAAATGTAGATCTGTTTTGATTTCACAGCTCCTTTGTTGCATTTTGGGCTGGAGTGGATTATGGGGTGGATGGTTTGCACATCTGCAGGAAGAGCTGAGGGGTAGGGACCAAAGCAAGACACTCTGACACATATGCCAGAATACCCAAAAAGCAAACAAACATAAAAAATACCACCTATACTTAAAAGCAAAAATGAATAATTTTTCATCAATCAAGACCACACACTAAGACAGTATTTCTCAATCTTAGCAACTTGGGAGATGTCTGGACTTCAACTCCCAGAATTCCTCAGCCAGCATGCTGGAATTCTGGGAGCTGAAGTCCAGACATCTTCAAATTGCCAAGGTGGAGAAGCATTACGCAAAAGGCTAGGCAAGCCGATCTAGAAGACCAAGATCACGAGGCCTAGTTCACAAAACTATCCTACCTCACAGGGTTGTATCTTGCCACATGTACTCATGACAGGAAGAAAATTAATTGCATGCTTTAGAAAAAGACTCAGTTGTGAGAATCATAACCTGCGGAGGCGATTGTTATTTTCCAGGAATGGAACTGACGCAATACCCATCCAAGGATTCTGAGAATGAGGTCATACCTCTGGAAAAATTAATCATAATTCCTCGTAGCCCTTATCATCATTTTTTAAGCTACCGCTGAAAAAAGACCTGAAGTATAATACCCCCACATATACCGGTAATTTGCAATATACCACGACTGCATAGTCAGGGATCCTGTTTGCTCATTTCAGATAGAGTGCACCTACTGCTCGCTGTCATTCTCACAAACGTTTTATCATGGCTAAGGCAATCAGCCACCTCCTCATGAATGTATCATGGTGATAAACAATCTATGGTTTACCCTTCCTCCTTCAGGGCATCCTGCAACTCTGGTAATAACTGGCATTTCCTGGCCTTTTTTAGATTTCCAAAAAAAAAACCCCACACAAAACCCCAGCCATAAACTTCTTTGGCAAAGGATTAAAACAGCACAAATCAGGGGGGGAAAACATTACATCAGGAGTAACACTGGCTTATACAGGGAAGCCCTCTTTTTCCGCCTTTCAGACAATTTTTCTGGATGAGTAACAACAAATCGCACCAATTCTACTGTGCCTGAGGAATTCAACATACGAATCCAATTAAATCATTCAGAAAAGTTCACTGCAACTTAAGTTTCTTTGGCAGTCTATTCATCTCAGTTGCTCAATGTCACGGTGCTGGAAATCCAAACGCAAAAGTAACACGATTGAAAACAAACGGCTAAAAGTTCTAATTGAAATCAGACTCTCTTTAAACCAGGATTCCCCAAACTCTTTTTTCAACCCTACATGTACCCAGTTCATCCCCTTTGAGAGGATTATTCGTCGACCCCCCCCCAAACATTTATTACATGAAAACAACTTAATAACAACTACTTTAATAGTACTACAAATAATACTACTGCCAATCCTCAACTTATGACCATAATTGGGATACCAAATTCCTGTCACTAAGTGAGACAGACGTTAAGTGAATCTCACCCAATTTTACAATTTTTTTTTTTTAGTGAATTCGGCTTCCTCCACTGATTGGGGGGGAACATTCGCTAGGAAGGTTGATATTAATTATAAACCATCCAGAGTTACTTTTCAGGGTGAGATGAGTGGCATAAAAATTTAATAAATAAATGGGGATCACATGACACCCCCCCCAAGCTGAATTGTGATCAGAGGATGTTGTGAAAGTTAAGTATGAAGAATAAGTCACTTTATTCAGTACTACTGTAACTTTGAACAGTCGCTAAAGGAATGGTCGTAAGTGGAGGAATACTTATGATACTGTAACAAGAATAATGCTGGATATTCTATTGATGCTGCTCTAAACTCCTGCAGAATTAGGACAGACCCAACCCCAAGCCATCACTGACCTTGCCCCCTTTGCACATGCCCCTCCCAAGAATACCCGCCTCCCCCAAGAATAAGACCTGCCCCAAGCCCCACCCACCGGAAGGACCTTCTGCCCTGCTCAGAGACCAGTCTGCAAAAAACAGCTGGTTTCTCCGCTTCCCTGGATGACTGAGAAAGGTGGGGAAGGGGGACACAAGGAAAAGGACCCCAAAATCAGATGTGTGAACTCACCGGTGGGCTTGCAGGTGGCTGCTTGGCTCGGACACTGGACCCCCATGTGCAAGGGCTGATTAGCAGCAGCTGCCGTTCTTTCTGAGGTAGTGTGGTTGTTGAGATCCAGGGGCGGGGTGGACAAAGAGCACTGCGTCTGGCACCGCAGCTGCGTCAGCGACTGGGGCATGCCCTGGTAGTGCCGCGTGGCACTCAGGAGGTCGTTGAGGATCTGCAGAATGGTGCCGATGTCTCGGCGTGGCCGGCCGCTGCTGTCTTGGCAGTTGGGGTGCAAAGTGCCTGCAGGGTGGAAGGAGAAGTAGGAAAGGTTGTAGCAGTGCATAAAATCTATGGGGGGGGGGGGGGGGGGGGGGACACAGTAGTATTGGTTTATAGCGGTGTTTTTCAACCTTAGGCACTTGAAGGTGTGTGTGGACTTCAACTCCCAGAATTCCCCAGCCAGCAGAGCCTCCTAGAATTCCCCAGCCAGCAGGGTCAGAGCTGGCTGGGGAATTCTGGGAGTTGAAGCCCACACACTGTCAGGTTTCGATGTCGTCTTAATTAAAATAAATTGCATTTCCAAACAAGTAATCTTTGAAGAAATCTTTCATTTTATTAAGCACGACGACCTGTCCCCGACTGTGGCGTAGCCAACACTGACTTCCTGACCCCAAACCTTCCCTTTCCGTTCCCCAATTCTCGGCATCTCATTGGCCCTCTTCCAAATCACTCTCCCCATATCTAGTACTTCAGCTCCCAGGAATGTCCCCCCTCCCATCTCATCTCCTAGGGGACATTATCTTCAGGGAAAATAAGTAGGTGAGAAGTCAAGCATCCTCTTGCCAGCTGCCCCCTCTTCTCCTTCTTATGTCAGTACTAGAGTAAATGCAGGTTGAAGTGCTGACACACACACCTTCAAGTGCCTAAGGTTGAGAAACACTGATATATATATATATATATCTATATATATCTTGCAGTGAGACATTTTCAAAATGTTAAAATCTCTCGTGGCTTTTCCAACAAGCCAAGGTGCTAGTCCTGCAGGGGAAGGATCAGCAAACTTTCTTCTCTTTGAAGGAGCCAGATCCTGCCCTTCCTTCATGTCTGTAAATACAGCCGGCCATCGTTCAAGGCTATTATTCAACATTTTTGTAATAGAAGCCAATACGTGCAACTGTTTTTTTTAATCTTTTTTAAAGCCAAGTACATTCTCCTCATGATTCAGACTTTATCTACAGAAAAAAGTTTTTTTAAAAAAAAAGGATGAAAAGACAGTTTTGGAACCTGTAAGGGACTGCATTTATCATGGATGGATTACTGAGTGCTCAGGACTAATAGTGACCATTAGCCATGATGTATTTTTTATAAGCTGAACAAGGTCTGCAGCTATCAGCAGACAATGAGTTCCACAGGTTGGAGGGGGAGGGTAAAAAGCAAAAAAAATTCATTTAGCTTAAAATAAGGACAAACCCATCAGATATGGTTGCTGTATTTTCTGGGAGAGTATCGACCCAGGCAAAACATTGGAAATTTCATTGGTTTCTTTATCTTATCCAGTATTTCTCAACAGTGGCGATTTTAAGATGGGTGGACTTCAACTCCCAGAATTCCCCAGCCAGCAAAGCTGGCTGGGGAATTCTGGGAGTTGAAGTCCACCCATCTTACAATCGCCATAGTAACACTGACCATTACCTTCTACCCATATTTCCTCTTATGGGGCAGACAAGAGAAATGTTATGCAGACGTACCAGAAAACGTTCCCGAAAAAACCCCAGGGGCGTGGTTAACAAAGCTTTCTATCACAGCGCCGTGTTTCCGGGTCCGAGAGGCCTGAGTGGGGCTGCTGCTGGGCGAACTTTTACTTCTTGAGGCGCAGTCTACCTGCAAAAGCCAAAGAACAGATGCTAAGCAGGGCTGGAGACTGGCGAGAACGAATCCTCCCCAACTTTATTTCAGACAAGGTGCCGTGATCCCCAAAAGTCTGAAGCCAGTCCTCCTGCTCTCTCAGGTGAAAACAGGAATAAGAGAAAATTGCCTGGTTGCCTTTTGTTTTTTTTGGAGGCATCTTGAAAAAACAGAACAAGAAACCTGAAGCTCTAAGCCTCTTCCTTGGACAAAGATTACGGTGGGCCAGAAACTTTATTTTATTTATTTATTTATTTATTTATTTAATTTGATTTATATGCCGCCCTTCTCCGGAGACTCAGGGCGGCTTACAATGCGCTATGATGTTCATCTTTAAGGACAGCATCTTCACAAGGCTTCCCCCCCTCTGAGTCATCTGGAGAGGAACCTAACTTTCCTGTTCCTTGCCAGAAAGACGTTTTTTCTATTAAGCAAAGGTTACTCTTTGTTTTTCCTTCTCCCTCTGGATCCATTTTCCTTTCTACGTGAAAGGTCTCAAACTCCCTTTGGAAAAGGACCAAGTAGCAGAGTCGTGGGATACGAGATGGGCAGCAAATACATTTCATAAATAAATAAATAAATGATGGGGGAAGACTTTTTTTCGACAAACCTACACGGTTTGGAGAGTTGCGACCATCAATGCGGCCATCCCATCCCAACCCCAATCGAATTTGGTAGTGTCTTCCTGATATATTGGGACTGCATTTCCCAGAATTCTGAGGCAGCCCTCTAAAATGGCTGGCTGCCTGAGGAATTCTGGGAACGGTGGAACTGCAGGTTTGAAAAGGCAGACTGATTAGCCAAGCGTACAGTTATAGACCACACAATTTACGAAGAGCAATGCCCGGCTATGAATCTCCCTGGATCAATAGGAGGGAGATTATGTCACAAAAAAATATTATGTGTGTCAAAGAACCTGGATTACAAGGTGATTTCTGAAACAGAGAACATTTGTAGGAATAACCCAAATAAAAAGCCAAGATGCCTAAGCTTATGGTGGGGCTGCAATTCAGGGAGTGAGGGAAGCTTGCTGCCCAGAATCACTTGGTGGTGAGATGGGCAGCATATACATTTTAAAAATAGTTAATAATAAAGCTGCTCCAACTTTCTCGTGAGATAAAAAGCTAACAAATACAGGAAGACTCTCCCTAATTCTGGCCCCCGTTCCTTCTCTTCTCTGCCCTGCAGCCACTAATGATAAAAAAAAAAAAATGCTGAGCCTTTTTAAAAATCCAGAAGGCAATGCCTCACAATTGTTCATAGCAGAAATCTCCCAATGCAGGTAGGTATTATTTTTTTATTTGCGGGAGGGTGGAAGGAGACCTAATGACCAATTCTACCCCTTGTAATCTGTTTTATTTATTATTTTTTTTACAAATAATTCAAGGTGGCAAACATGTCCAACACACCTTCCTCTTCCTATTTTCCCCACAACAACCACCTTTGAGGTGGGCTGGGCTAAGAGTGAGTGACTGGCCCAAAGTCATCCAGCTGGCTTCCATGCCAAAGATGGGACTAGAACTCACAGTCACCAGGTGATTGGCCCGAAGTCACCCAGAGTGTTTTGAGGCCTAAGGTTTGACTAGACTAGTATTCTCTTGTTTCCTGGTGATTGGCCCAAAGTCACCTATTTGACTTTTCATGCCTAAGGCTGAACTAGAACTCTCTGTCTCCTGGTGATTGGCCCCAAGTCACCCAGAGAGTTTTGAGGCCTAAGACCAGACTAGAACTCACTGTCTCCTGGTGACTGGCCCAAAGTCACCTATTTGATTTTCATGCCTAAGGCTGAACTAGAACTCCCTGTCTCCTGGTTTCTAGCCTGGTGCCTTAAAAGCTGCCATGGGCCAGGACTCCAGCCTTTTCTACTCATGCTCAACCCTCGTTGATTTCAACACCCCACAAAAGCATCCCAGGACTGACCTCTGAACATGAAGACATGACGCTGCCGCTCCCCCCTCCGTTGACCGTCTGTGCGCTGGTCCCGTGTGAATGGAACATCCCTGCCGTGACGGGGGTCGGGTTAGCGGTGGTACAGTAGAGAGGCATAGTCTGCATTGGCGACGGAGAAGCAGCAGGACTGGGCACAGGGCTTGGCGGACAAGCGGGCGCCGTGGGGAGCCGGGTAAAAGTAGGGGAGGAGGCGGGAGTGCTCCCAGGCAGGGTGCGGCAACTGGAGGCAGCCGGTCCAGCCGCCGGCACCGGCGTAGGGGCCGTGGCGCCTCCAGCTTGTTCTCCTCGGCTGGCAATCACGTGGCGGTGCTGGAGCTGCCCGCTGTTCTGCTGAGCTGCCAGCTGCAGCTGGACAAACATCATGTGATCGCCCACCCTCAGGGCAAGGGTCAGGGGGGACCTCCCGGACAGGAAGTCATTTACCTGGAAAAGAGGACAGCAGGTGGAGTGGTTAGATCAGATGGCTGCTTTCAACTGGACACCAAGCTATTCCTGGACACCCCCACCCCATCCCCCCAACAAGTGGTAGATGGAAATTAGTGCTACCTGGTGCAGGATCAGATTAAATTAAACAAATAATGAAACCTTAAGTTACTGTAGTTATAATACTACACCCGCAAATACTGTAGAGGCAGGCCTTGACTTATGACCATTCACTTAGTGATATTTCAAAATCACCACCGATCTGAAAAAAGGAATTTGCTACTCAAAGTTTTAGACCCTCCCCAAGACAAGTGGTAGATGGAAATAAGTTTTAGACCGTCAGACTCCGTCCACAGTCACATGACCAAATTTAGGGTTAAAAATCGACACTTAACTTCTAGTGTTCAACAAAACTGCACCTATAGTGGCCACTGGTTCATTTAAGGACAGTGGCATTTGCTTCATGATTGTGGCATTTGCTTAACAACTGCCACAAAAAAAATTGTAAAATCAAGTTGGTCACAGGACCGACCCGTTTTATGACTGTCATGACCTACAACCGTAATGGGGAAAACTCCATTGTGGTCGTATGTTAAGGACCACCTGCACCTGAAAAAGTGTCTTAAAAGATTTCTTGGTCCTTTCTTAGGAGACAGGGGGCTTCAGCACTCTATGCTTAGTGGATCTGTGGGAACACATCATCATTTGCTATGAAAAGCAAATGCATTATTAATATTTATTATTATTTCAGGTTGTCTTTGGTGCACTGCTAGCATAATCATCAAACTAAGAGACACATCGCCCAGATCTTAAAGTTTTGCATCAAGACTTGCCTTGATGAAGCCAGATTGGTGACAAACAAATAATTAAAATAAATTAAAATAAATTAAAATAAAATAAAAGTATTCAAGAAAACACAAGCCCCTGGTCAAAGTTGTCTTCCTAGACCAGGGGTGGGAAATTAAGGCCCCTTTATGACCTGTGGACTTCAACTCCCAGAATTCCTGAGCCAGCCGGCTCAGGAATTCTGGGAGTTGAAGTCCACAGGTCATAAAGGGGCCTTAATTTCCCACCCCTGTGAGTGCAGAGCAAGAGGCCAAAGAGAATTAAAGATGTTCCTCTTTTCCTTGACTTCTCTGGCAAATGCCCAGCTGAGATGGATTGATTTAGAGACAGACCATAATATACCCCCGAGAGGCCTTCAGAACAGGAGGGAGGCCTAGCAGATGGAGACTGGCTAGGAAATACCAGAGCAGTCAATATTTGCTGAACCAGGTGGGGCCTGTAGTTGAAAGGTGGCGGATTTTTTTTTAGTAAAAGAAAGAAAAGGAAAAATAGGCAGAGGCTGGACTGGCAAGCGGTCTTTTGACGTCAGAACTGAGGTATTACAGAAGAGGAGAAGCCATCTTCAAACCAGGATGAAACTTTTCATAGGGTGGCCTCCTCCCCAAATTTGGGGAGGGGAAAAGGCCACAACTGCTGACTTGGGCATGTATGACCGGTATGGATGTGTCCCTCCGTCTGTTTAACTATCTCTTAGGCACTGTTACTTCTTGTGTAAAGGGACTGGGAAAGATATGCCAAACAGGGCTTTGGCACCATACCAGCCAGTCTGATTCCATTTGCATGCAAGCAAGCTTAGAGCAGCTGAGCCACTTTTTCCAACCCTACGTGCACCCAGCAAGCGGCTAGATCTCATGGAGGACGCCATGTCCTTCAGCAGCACACAAGAGATGGAGGACAACAAGGACCGCAAATGATGCACGAGCCCTCGGAAGGTGCCAGATGGCAACCTCCGGCTTCCGAAAACAAAGCAGACCGAGAAAAGGACCTGTCCCCGCCTTGCTGACGGAGAATCACCCTTCTGCACACAACTCCCTGCTTCCTGTCAATGCGCGGATCAAGCAACAAACACCTCCCCACTCCCCATCTCATCTTCCTTCGCCTCTGCAAAAACGTCAGCAAAATGGGGGGGAAAGAGAGAAAGGAAAGGCGGCCGGATTATGCGTTATCCATGCCTCCAGCTCAAAACACCCAAATTTATTGCAAAACCTTCTCCCACTTCTGCCTTTCTAGCCTTCCTCTTCACCCTCCCCCCCCGCCTTGTGCCTCACTGCGAAGACGGAAGCACGGATGGGAGGGAGGAAGGGAGGGTGGGAGGTTTCTGAGAAACCCGTGGGAACGGCAGCTCGAGGAAGGTGGCGGCCTGAGAAGCGGCTGGCCGTGCATAGCAGAGCATCTACGGGAGGAAGAGGTGGGTGGGGAGGTGAGTTTCGGACACCAGGTAGGAAAAAAAATTAGGGTGTGTGTGTGGGGGGGAAGCAACCAAAGCCACTGAGTAGGATTTTGAAGAAAAGAAACTCTTTTTAAAAAATATATAAAACAGAGTGGGAGGAAGCTAGAGAAAAAACCTAAGTCCTATTCTACCAAGAGGGCATCTGAGCATGTGCAGAGGACACCCCTCCTTGCCACCCAAGCAAAAGAAAAGGGTGATTGCATAATTCACACCTCTGCTCCTTCCTTTCCGTGTTATTATTGCAAGCTGAAAAGTGCATGCTTTTTGAGATCAGAGGACTCAAAGCACCGCTTAATTTCTGGTAAGCAATAATCCTTCTTTAAACAGACCGACTTCCATTACTCCCCGGCTTTAAAATCCACAGCAGGGTTAATCACAAAGGATCGCAGAATCCAGTAAGATCTTTTGCGATACTTAACCAAGAGTGGAGCCTTCATTTACAGGGGCATTCTATCCCCGAATGCTAAGCAGACGCTTAAGGACAGATGAGGCTTTTCAAAATACATCAAAATGGATGGAGGCCTGTGGGAAGTCAAATGAACCCTGGATCACAACCAGCATCAAGAGATTAGATTTCCTTGTGGATCTAAAAGGCATTAATGGGAGTAAAACAGCAAACCCTAAACTCAATTCCAAATAGGGTGAGGAATTGCGATAGGGAAAAAAATCTTCTCCAATTTGGTGCCCCTGCAGGAATGCCAGACTACAATGCCCATTGCCCTTAACCAGTCAGCACAGTTGATGGAAATTAATAATCCAGTACAATTTGGGGGGGGGCACCAGATTGGAGAAAGCGATTCCCAAATTCCACTTTTCTGCAATCCAAATCTTCACTTTTTTCTTATTAAGTGCCATTGATGCTTACGGTAATCTATCTACGTTTACCATCCTGTGCTCACAAGGGGAAGATGGGCCCAAAAACAGCCTTGGCCACCAATAAGTGGGACCGCCAGATTAAAGTGTCAAGGAACTAATAAAGAAGCTGCAGCCACTGGAAAAGTAACTGGGGATACAACTGTTGGTCTGGAGCAGTGTTTCTCAACCTTGGAAGCTTGAAGATGGGTGGACTTCAACTCCCAGAATCCCCCAGCCGGCTGGCTGGGGGATTCTGGGAGTTGAAGTCCACCCATCTTCAAGCTTCCAAGGTTGAGAAACACTGGTCTGGAGATTCCTGGGCCTTAAACCTCAGATCTCCACTGGTTACCTTGAAACGGGGGAGCATTGGTTAAAAGCTTTATATTTTTTAAAAAATAAAAATCTGCAGCCTGTCCTTTCGTCTCCGATCGCCCAGCCTTTTCTTTATGCTACCAAGTCACGAAATTCCAGATCGGCCCAAGAGTCACAAAAGGCTCCCTTACCAGCAGGCTACCTTCCCTGCAGTCACGACATCCGCACTTAGCTCCCCGTGCGCAAGGCGCCCGCCCCACTGGCAGCACCTCAAGACCGCTAGGCACCCACCCAAGACAGTGCCTACCGCAAAAGCGGTTAAAAAGCAAAAAAAAAGAAAAAAGGGGGGGGAGCTCCTTTAAGGAGAACAAGAGCACCAGCTGCACAAGGACCCTTTCCCCCCCTCCTCTCTCCATCTTCATACATGCATGCATGTCGTTTTGATGTGCTTCGGCCTTCTCCCTCCCTCCCTCCCTCTCTGGAATTCCCTCTTCTTGGTGTCTGAATGCAAATCATTCCTTTGTTCTCCCTGGAACATCCAGCACAGATGGTAATTACCATATGCAAAAAAAAAGAAAAAAGAAAAAAAACAGCCAGAAAGGTTTGATTGACTGGGGGGTCCTTGGCTGGGGAGCCCCCCTCCTCCCAGATCTGCTCTCAGCGCTTCTTTGTCTTCTTGGTTGCCAAACTACCCAGATCTTATTAAATTATTTTTTCCAGAATGGGAAGCAAGTCAGGATGCCGGCCTAGGAAAAGCCCAGAGTTAAGGTTTCCAGACTGCCTCCTTTTTTTACAGTCTCTTTCCGATCTTGCAGCGGCCCGCCTTGCAGGGAGGGCTGCCAAGGGGAACAGCCCCTCCCCCCCAACAGCCACCCCACAAAAAGGGGAAAGGCAGGAAGGGACACACAAAGGCGACTTTAAAAGGGTCTGGGACTTCCAATTCCCCAGAATTGCTGGGAAATTCTGGGAGTTGAAGTCCCAGACCTCTTAAAAGTTGCCAAGGTTGAAAAGAAGAAAAAAAAAAACAGCGGCTCAAGCAAGATTCACCCAAATCTGCTTTCTTCAATCTAAACCAAAGGAGCTTAAACTGTGCCTCTAACCCAGAAGGGATCACGGAAATCTCTCTCAAACAACCTGCCCAAGATTTGATCCTCACAATCCCCCTTCCACACCCAGCATGGGAACTAAATCCACGGCTCTTGAGATCTCGCCTCCTGCTTCTGGGTTTGGGAGAGGCTGGCCATCTTAAGACCTCCATCCGTTTTCCCCCTTCCTTGCCCCGCCGAGGATCAGGCTGGCACCTTTCTTTCGGACAGTGCCAAGAAAGGGAAGGAGGAAGGAGGAAAATTCTTCCCATCCCTTCTGCTCTCATCCAGATCCCTTTGACGTCAAAGAGACCAATCTTCGGTTAGCGGAGATCTACCCCGGATACCTCTCCCCCCCTCTTTTGTGGGATGACTCACTCAACCTCAGCGTCAGCCCCCCCCCTCCGTGAAAAAAGTGGAACACTCCGTGACCAGGCCCTGGCGTGCCACAG